AAATTTAAAAAGATGAAACTTTAAAAATTATTATTTTTTCGATCAAAATTAGTGAAAAGAAAAAAAAAATTGGGATAAAAATGAAAAATCTTTTAAAAATTGATAAAAATTTAATGAAAAAATTAAAGTAATTCATATCAAATCAAAAAATTTATTCAAATTTAAAATCAAATTAGATATAAAAAAATAAAAATAAAAATTATGAAAATTTGAAAATATTTTAAAACCTTCTTATTTTTAAAGACTAGAAATTCGTGTGTGTATTATATTCATATTGTATTTTTCATTATGAAATTGAAATCAAAAGAAATGTAACTTAAATTATTAGATTAATAATAGAAATATGATATTAATTATTGTTAAATATCACTTCACTTCACATTTAATAATAAAATTATATATTTGTCTTAATTATAACTTTTAAAGTATAATTTCATAACAAGAAGAAATATGTCACAACTCATTTAATCAAATTTAACTTTTTTTAATGCAAATTATCAAATTTGCACTAAATAAATTTATATATATATATATATATATATATTTTTTAAACTAATAAGTTAAAAAATTATAAACATAAAAGTTAACTTATACATGTACACTACAACACAAAATATTAAATAATTTCAAAGTAATTATAATAATTTTTTTTTTTAATTTATAAAATTTCGTACATAGCACGAATTACTATATATATATATATGTATATATGTAAAAAGAAAACATTCACTTTACCAAATGTGACTTACTATACTCTCTATGCAATTTGTCCAATGTCTAGAAATATATAACTTCTATGATTTATAAACTAGAGTGCATTGTCAGACATTGTGTCTAAGTTAGCACCAAATGCAAAACTCGTGTCAGAACATAAAAAGATTTAAGTGCTTATTTTTAAATGAATGAATAATGTTTGAAGGCAACAAAATGTGTGGTTTAAATGGCTCGAAATTGTCAAAATAATGTCGTTTTGCGTCGTTTTGACAGCAAAACGACGTCGTTTTAACAGTTTCGAGCCATTCGAGTCACAGATTTTCAGACTTTCTACCAGTGTTGTAAATGAATAATGTTTGATGTTTGAGGGTCTGAAATCAGTGGCTCGAATTCAATTTAAAACTCAAAACGATGTCGTTTTGGGTTTCAATTTTTTTTTATTTTCTTTCTTTTCTTCTTCTTCTTCTTCTTCTTCATGTGACTTACTATACTCTCTATGCAATTTGTCCAATGTCTAGAAATATATAACTTCTATGATTTATAAACTAGAGTGCATTGTCAGACATTGTGTCTAAGTTAGCACCAAATGCAAAACTCGTGTCAGAACATAAAAAGATTTAAGTGCTTATTTTTAAATGAATGAATAATGTTTGAAGGCAACAAAATGTGTGGTTTAAATGGCTCGAAATTGTCAAAATAATGTCGTTTTGCGTCGTTTTGACAGCAAAACGACGTCGTTTTAACAGTTTCGAGCCATTCGAGTCACAGATTTTCGGACTTTCTACCAGTGTTGTAAATGAATAATGTTTGAAGGTCCGAAATCAGTGGCTCGAATTCAGTTTAAAACTCAAAACGATGTCGTTTTGGGTTTCAATTTTTTTTTATTTTTTTTATTTTCTTTCTTTTCTTCTTCTTCTTCTTCTTCTTCGTTTTGAACACAGAAGAAGAGAAACAGAGGCAAGAGACGAGAGGCGAGAGAGAGTCGTCGCAGCTCGTTGGCCGATCGTCGCAACTCGTCGGCTGATCGTCGCATCGCAGCCCCGCCTCTGCCTCCAGCCCGATTTTGATGGCCCCTCCAGTTCTGCTTCTCCGTCTTCTTCTTCTTTCTCATTCTCTTCTTCGTCTTCTTCCTTCTCAAACAACATTCGGGCCACTCTCAAGCCACAATGTTCGAGCTACGAATCGGAATTGTTTTTAAATATCAAAGGAGTAATAAATGTGCTATTTGAATTATGGAACTTATTACAAGTCTCTTTCAATTACTCAAATTATTTATTTTCACAGTCATGTGTATATCATTTATAAAAAAAATTTAAGTTCATTTTATCATACTTGTCTAAAAAAATAAACAACCAGGGCATTTTTTAAAAATATCATCCATTTCTTATAGATAAACATGACAAAATAAAAATGGGTAAATTACACTGACACTCCCTAAGGTTTACATTTGTTACAGTTTCCTCCCTCATATTTTGAAAATTACACCTCTCCCTAAGGTTTAAAGTTTCATTGCAGATTCCCCCATTTAGCAATTTAATTTTTTTAAATATCAATTTTGCCCTCATTAGGTAAATTACATTGACACCCCTCACATTTTAGAAATTACAATCCTCTCCTAAGGTTTAAAGTAGCATTACCAATTGCCCCATCGGTTAGTATTGGTTGAAAAAAAAATTAATTGAAAAAAAATTTGTTAGTAAAGTTTGTAAATATTTGTTTAAAAACCAACATAAGCTCATTTTTTGAATTTACGCTTTTTCCTCAAATTTACAAATTGAGATAATATTTTATAAACCAAAAAAATTATCAAAAAAATTTTTATGACAGTTTTTAAAATTTTTGTAAATATAAATTGAAAACTGAAAACGAAATGGTTACCAAACAGGCTTGATGGTAAAAATGTCGTAAAATTAACAAATAATTAAATAAGTTACTAACATAAGAAATGACTTATCAAAAGATTCTTAGGCTATATATGATTTGATTTTTAGAATTTTTTTTAAATTAAAAATTAATTTGGTTAAGAAATAAAAAATAAAAAAGTAAAAAATATTGTGTTTGGTGGTACACAGCCTAAGAATTTAGTATTCTTAGGCTATGTATTGTTTGATAATTATTTTTTATTTTTTATTTTTTAACCAAATTAATTTTTAATTTTTAAAAAAAAATTCTAAAAATCAAATCATACATAGCCTAAGAATCTTTTGATAAGTCATTTCTTTCGTTGGTAACTTATTTAATTATTTGTTAATTTTACGACATTTTTACCATCAAGCCTGTTTGGTAACCATTTCATTTTCAGTTTTCAATTTATATTTATAAAAATTTTAAAAACTGTCATAAAAACTTGTTTGATAATTTTTTTAGTTTATAAAAAGTTGTCTTAATTTGTAAATTTGAAGAAAAAACGTAAATTCAAAAAATGAACTTACGTTGGTTTTTAAACAGAAATTTAAAAAATTTACTAACAATTTTTTTTTTTCAATTAATTTTTTTCCTAATTAATTTTTTTTTTCAATAATTTTTTTGGGGAAAATTGGTCTAAGGTCCCTCTCCCACTTTTCATAATGGAAGAGATCCACAAAATTATTTTTTGATGTCTAAGATCCCTAAACATACAACAGAGAAATTTCAGTCCTTTATATTATCTTCATCATCTGACCCACTGCCATCCCCAACAACCCGACTCTCAGTCCTCCTCATCTTCCAATACTTCCCAAAGCTTTACCCAGTGGAGATTCCCCGCCTCGTTCTCCTTCTCTCCTTTCCTCTCATCGCAATCGCATACATCTTCGTCTCCGAAGCCCTCGTGATCCAGGCGCTCATCTTCATCTCCTACGCCGGACTGAAGATCCGCGACATCGAGCTACTTTGTCGGCTCCGGACATGTGTTTTGGTGCAGCGTTGATCCAGGTTCGCTTCCGACGGCGCTGGGTTATACTCTATGATATTTTTTATCGGTACTGGTTGCGTCAATAGTATTTCACTTAAGTTCACTTCTGAAGATTCTTCTAGGTGAAGTCGTCTTTGTTGAAGATTACAGTTTATATCTAACACAGTAATTATTTTGTTTGATGAACTTCCAATAAAGATGGATACCCGTATGGAGTCAAGTACTTGGTGTGGTTCTACTTTGTTCCAAGTTACACGTACAGTTCTGTGTATTTGTTCTCTTTTAGTATTTCCAATTATGTTTTGACAAAAAGCAATACATTGACTATTGAAATGTTGGTGTGCTGTTGTACTGGAGGATCTGAATCCTATATTCTTAAGTTCACAAAAATAGAAATTGAAGCCAAGTGTAGATTAATGAGAAAAGTGATCTTCTGGTTGAAACTAGAGAAATTCTTTGATTTTTTAACTGAATTTTCTCTGGGTTGAAACCAGAGAAATTCTCTGGTTTTTGAACTCAATCACCAAGTTCTGTTCATAAAAATACAACTTTACTGTAAATAGAGAGAATTTCTCTGGTTTGTCTGGTTTGAAGAGAATTTCTCTGGTTTTGAACCAGAGAAATTTGTGGGTTTGTTAGACATGGGTATAATTGTGGTTAATAGAGCCAGAGAAATTTGTGAAGTCAAAGAAATTTCCTAGATAGCCATACAAATTTCCTTTCTACAATTTTCTCTGGATTTATTTGGTACTCAGAGAAATTTCAATTTTCTCCGGAGAGAATTTCTTTGGAACTGAAATTTCTCTGGATTTCAATTTTCTCTGGAGAGAATTTCTCTGGGACTGAAATTTCTCTGGATTTCAATTTTCTCTGGAGAGAATTTCTCTGGGACTGAAATTCTCTGGATCCTGTTAAGGGACCTTAGACATCATAAAAATATTTGATGTCCTTTATATTATAAAATCATAATATGAGGGACCTTAAAAAAAATACCCCATTTTTTTTCCAACTAATACTAACCGAGGGGACAATTGGTAATGTTATTTTAAACCTTAGAGAGGGGATTGTAATTTCTAAAATATGAGGAGTGTCAATGTAATTTACCAAATGAGGACAAAATTGGTATTTAAAAAAATTAAATTGTTGAATGGAGGAATCTGTAATGAAATTTTAAACCTCAGGAGGAGATATAATTTTCAAAATGTGAGGAAGAACTGTAATAAATATATAAAAAATCTTTTAAAATAAATAGTTAAAATCATCCAAATAAAAATCATAATAAGACTTGATCTGATTAACATCTAAAATCTAAGAAGGTAAAATTATTAAAATTTACCATTTTCCAAAATTATCATAGACTTGACTATACACAACCACCACCCAATGCCATTTTTTACATTTTTCTTTGGTTTGAAATTTGTAAGAAAAACTACAAGCAAAGGTTGCTGATGCCTCTTTCTCTTTGATCTCAAATATTCACGGTACTCTCTCTCTAATGCAACCCTCACATCCAATATCTGCTCCCTAAGGCTTAGGCACTACCGCAAAGCGACGATCGATCAGGTAGATCAGTCATCGACCACGACCATTAGAGGACCACCGTTGCAGATCCCTCTTTCTTTTTGATCTCAAACCCATTTACGGTACTCTCTTTGATTTGAATCCATTCTCATACCCTTTTTTGTTCTTTCAATTCTTTCATGTAAAAATGGGGTCAAACTTGATGGGTATCAATGATTTATTGAATGATGTGTTTTTGGGTTATTGAATTTTTTATGTATATTATGATGAGTGGCTTATTGGTTCTGAGTTCTGATTTGTGTTTGTTTTGATTTCTATTTCTTTGTTTGTTTTGAATTATGGGTAGTGCTAGCTCTGTTTTGCTACATTTTTGCATTGAGGTCCAATTTGCAAAGGGTGAAAGCAACTCTCTAAACCCACTTGTATAGCTCAATCGACCTGCCGGTTTGGGTGAGCCACCGTTGGCATATAAAGTCAATCCATCATTGGTGGTTTGGTCTTTTCCAAAACCGCACCACACCAACCCTTTGCGAAACTTGACATTTATATTCTATCTATATATATATATATATATTCTTTTGATTTCTATAGGATTTAGGATTCAGTGTGTCGGCAAATTCTGTAGACAAAACGTGTGCTAGATGTCTAGGCTAGATGGGGAGGTTTGCTTGTCCAAGTGCGGACTATTGAAAACATTTAATAACTATTTTAGGCATGCTCCAACCCAAGCTCAAGTAAAATTGCACGAGAATATTGTGTTAGTGTACGACCCATTTTTTCCATCAAGGATTTTGTGTTTCATATGGAAATCTACTAAGAGTCAGAGGCTGTGAAAGAATAAAATGTCAAAAACTCCTAAATTTGAGTATCTCATGTTCAATATCTTTGCATATTTGTAATGTGGAGCTAAAATAAGACTTATAACATCTGAGGCTAGGGTAAATACCTTAAATTTGCGAAGTAGCTATTTTAAGCCACTCGTGTGATTTTTGAATTTTGTTCTTGGATGAGAGAATAGGCTTTTTATTTATTCAGAGTTTCGTTGTTTTGAATTTTTCATTGAATTTAAATACGAAATATTTTCATGGAGTGTCTCGGAATATAATATGATGGGTGTTAGAGAAGAAATGGGTGACAAAAGGTTACATTGATGTGATTAAGAACATATATGAAAAGGTGGTGACCACTATTAGATCGCCTGCTAGACAAATGAATTTCCTATCACTGTAGGGTTACACCAAGGATCTACCCTAAATCCTTATCTTTTTGCTTTAGTTATGGATAAGTTGACAAGAAATATTCAGGATGACGTGCCATGGTGTATGCTTTTTGCAGACGATATCGTGCTTATGGATAAGACTAGAGAAGGAGTTAACACAAAGTTGGAGATTTGGAAAAAAGTTCTTCAATCTAAAGGATTCCAGATAAATAAAACTAAAATAGAGTACATGGAGTGTAAATTTAATAACAGTGACAATGAAAATAGAGGATAAGTGAAGATTGAGAATCAAGAACTGCATAAGAGTGAGCATTTTCGTTATTTAGGGTCGATTATCACAACAATTAGGGAGATTGATGTGGATGTGACCCATAGGATTAAGACGGGATTGTGTAAGTGGAGAAGTGCGTCTGTGGTACTATGTGATAAACGAATACCCACTAGACTAAAGGTAAGTTCTATAAAAAGACTATTAAACTAGCGATGTTGTATGGGACGAAGTGTTGGGTAACAAAGAAACAACATGTAGATAAGATGAGTATGGTTGAGATGAGGATGCTAAGATGGATGTGTGATAAAATTAGACAATATAGAATTAGGAATGAGTGTATTCGAGAATGAGTAGGAGTAGCACCGATAGAAGATAAGTTGAGAGAGAGAATCGATTGAGATGGTTTGGTCATATTTAACGGAGACCAATAGAGGCAGTAGTAAAGAGATGCGATACTGTAATGGTGGATGGAAGTGTTAGGGAACGGAATAGGCCTAGATTAACGTTTGCTAGCGTTGTAAATAGAGATATCGATTTACTTAATTTGACTAATGAATTGGCCTTTGACAGGGCCACGTGGAGAAAAATGATTGATGTAACCATCCCCATTTGATGGGACTTAAGACTTGGTTTGATTTGGTTTGGTTTGGTATACATAATATCTTAAGTCAATGAAAAAGAATAAAGATTAAATGAGTTTGTGTAGGGGGCAATAGTGCTTCAAAGTGTTCATAGTGCATTCAGACTGAGCTGCATGATACCCGCTCGATAGGTGCTTGAATGGGCAAACTCATGAGAGACCACTTGATACCCACTTGATAGTGGCTCAAGCGTGCTTGCAAGATTTGCCTAAATTCGTGTCTTAGGTGGATTCCACTTCCCTCAACCTGTATAAACAATGTTTTCTGCATCAATTGGGTTAAACATAGGTGTTTAGCAACTTTTCTTCAAGACCTATTTTGCTCTCATTTTAAGTGTGCAAACAAGAAGACAAAAATTACACTTAATTTCCCCATTCATTAGAATTATGATTTCTATATTTACATAAAATGCAAAAAACTACGCCCAACAACACCTGAAGCAACAACCCCCTTCACTCTCTCTCTCTCTCATCCCATAAACACAACTCATGATGTTTGTGAGTGAGGGTTGTTCGTTGCCATCAACACCACACTCATGCATGGTATGCTTTTAACCCTCTTTTACATATATATTTATGTTTGAATGCTTAAATTATTTGCTACTAGAAATTTTTTTTAATACATATATAATATTTTTTGCTATAAATCTGAAACTGTACCCGAAAACATATCAATACCGGTAGGTACCGTACCAATTGAAAAAATTGTACCTTGTCCGGTTTGAATTGACAACTTTGATCTCCACTACCTCTACCAACTACGCAATTCATCAAACCATTGAAAAGAAAGAAAAAAGAAATATTAAAAAACAACAGTTGCAAAAAATTATCCATTTGAATCCCCCTCTTTTGCATTTCCTCAAACACCATATGAGCTTTCCATCCAACTCCTTCCACAGCCCTTCTTATGTCCCAAAATCAAAACCACCTCCACCAACACTTGCCCACCACTGCTGCCCACACAACCTCTACCACCATGGGCAAGCCCGACCCCTACCGCATTGCCACTACCAGTATCTTGTCCAATTTGGAAGGGGGGAAGAAAAAAAAAAATCCTTTATTGACTAATTTAATAGATTTGTCTTTATTACAGGGAGAGGTTGAGTGAGAGTTCTGTTAGAGAGTGGTGAAGGCTCATGATGGTAGGTACGGGTTATGCGGTCGTGGTGGATCAAACACGATAGTGGGTGAGAGTTATGCAGTGGTGGCTGGCTGGCTCGTAGTGATGGCTGAGGGTTGAGGGATATGGTTTTGCAACGGTGGCGGTTGTGGGGATGGGGCTAGCAGTGGCCTTTTATCCCCTGCTTTCTTGGCTTGAAAGCTTGGTCCTTCGTTCTCCATATCAGCCTACCCATATGCCTCAAGCTGATATATATATTAATGCATACCCCCAAAATGCTACAAGATATAACAAGAGTGATATGTGTGTGTATGCATTGTAACCATGGGTTTATCACAAGTGTTTTCAGGTCCAGTTTTGTTGAAGGATGGACCAAGGGATGATATACGTATACATATATATATATTGTGAGAGAGTTTTGTCGATGTGTAATTGATTAATGGGTATGAAGGGTGATCGTTGAAGGAGGAAAACTGGACTGTTGGGAATTGGGGATTGACAGGAGGGTGGGTTTGGGTGTGGTGAGGTGCATGGCAAGGGTGTGGGAGAAGTACATTTTTGGGATAGAAAAAGAAGAAAACATTAAGGTTGAAATTGTAAAAAACCACATTTCGTTAGTCTAGTTAGTCTGACAACACTGGCAGGGAGGTCAATGTCATTTCAAAAACGTGATGGGAGGTTTTGTAATTGCCATAAATTCTAAAAGAGGTCAATGTAATTTACTCTTATTATTATTAGGGAGAAGAATTATACAACAAAGGGATTTGGGGCAGTTATTTACAAATTAATGGGGAGCCAAAAAAATTGATCCACTGTGGCAATTACTCAAATCTCACTCCTCCCTTCCTCTTCACTCCTCCACCCTCAGCAACTACCGGCTAACACTCACTATTCTAATACGATTCCAAATGTTCATTTATTTTTGTCCATCTCTTTAGCAATCAAGTAGAGTATTTATGCTTTTGTGTAATACACTAATACAATATGAATGAAAAGTATTAAAACTTTGACCAATTGTTACGTTCTTGTAAACGCGAGAATGTCAAAACAAACAAACAAAAATCATTTCTACACTCTCCCCAATCTTGCTTAATTTTTGCTGAGTGATGGTTGAATAGGTTGTACTGTTTCTATATAGAATTTTATTATTATTATTTTTTATTTGGAAAATGGGTGAGCTTGGGATTTATGCCTCATGCATGCAGAGGTTGAAACAGCTTCTGTCATAGGCTCATAGCATTACCTAAAAGGAGTAGGTATAAAGTTTCATAATATTTTTTGATATATGCATTAATCTCTATAATTCTATGGAAAGTGTATATGGATGATAATTCTTATGTATTAATTTGTAAAGATGAAAGCTGCGATGTAAGAGAGCTTTGTTGAAATCTGTTTCCAGGTTGCTGGGTGGATAGTACATAAACAAAATTATCATGTGGTTGGAAATTATCATGGCTTAAGTAAATGAGCATGGAAGTTTCGCAAAAGACGGTTATGGCATTCAAATCTTACCAAAATCAGGCTGAGGTGCTGGTTAAGAACTATTTACTAGCAGATCCTATCATTCCATATACGTCTGTCCTAGGGGGCATATTTGCCTGCAAAATGGTATTGTTCCAACCTTCATTTTAATTTTTTGCCTAAGGGAAAAAATGGATGAAAAAATGCTTTGTTATCTGTTTCTATAAAAAAAAGGTAGAAGCAATATATATATATATATGTGCATTTAACATACAATATCTCTAGTAAAAGCAGTTTTTGCTGGGTGCTTTGGTAAATTCTATAGATTTCAAAGTTTTTTTAGGATATGTTTTGAATAAATTTTCCCACGTACAGGTATATGATCTTACCCAGTTGATCAGCACATTTTACTCCAGGAGCTATAATGCACTTACGAAACTACAGCGGATTGAGTGGAACAGCCGGTGAATGCATAATCACATTTTGTCTACTCATTATTTTATTATATCAACAATCTTTTGTGATTTTCCTCTTATGTTTTTTTTCAATTGATCATGCAGTGGTATTTCTACTGTTCATGCAATTTTTATTGCAACTGTGTCATTGTACTTCGTGTTCTGGTCAGATCTCTTTTCTGACCAACAACATACTGGCCTTATTACATTCAGACACTCGCAGATATCAAGTTTTTCATTGGGAGTAAGTCTTTTTTTTCTTAAATCCTTTTTGTTACTTTTTTAATTTTTCCTCCCCTCATTTAACTCCAAAAATGGTTACCTGTGGAGGTTTCAAACATTAACAGCCATGCTTAGGAGGCTATAAGTGCACTAAGTATGTCTAACAACTTGTTGCACACAAAAAAAATAATAATAATTGTTACAAAGTTTTTTCATTGTTTTACCAAATAGGTGACCATCTTATATTATTATTATTATTATTTTCTTTTTGGGGACCTATGTTTCATGGAATCTTTAAAATAAAAAATGCCCATGCCGGACACTTGACTTCTGGGCATTTCTATCAGGCACGTCTTATATATTTTTATTTATCATTGTATGTATATATTGTTGTATAATTGCTATAAAATGAGGAAAAATGTGAAAATATGATTTTTTTTTGTTGAGTCTCCCTACCCTTGTCTGTACCCAATACCCGTACCCAAGTCTATGTAACATAGATGGACAAACCCTCCCCAAGTGATCTTTCATTCAAGACGATGATAATTTTTTTTAGTTCATTTAGGGTACATCCAAGGTTCTTTAACTTTACAGCACATTATATCTACCTCCTTTTTCAGATGTAGTAAATCCACCCATTCTTCGAAGCATAGGATTTCCAAGTTGATCTGATTGAAGCTAATTTGTGTGATCTGAGGTATCACGTGAGGAATAATTTATGCCTTGTTCTTAATGATGCTCGTAGAGATGTTCTCCAGACTTCCTATTCTACACCTTCATTCTAATCATTAACAGAAGGGGCATGAGTTTCTTTAATGCAAAGCAAGAATGTGACTTCCTTTGGGCAAGACCTTATTGTAAATGAGAAACTAAAGAAACCGTTAAACGGGAATGGCAGGGGCACAACTGTTTTGCCTATTTCTGAAACATATGAGGATGCAGCTCCATTTGTATAGTACTTTTTGCTTTTCTTAATGGCATTTGTAGGCTCCCTTCTTCTAGATTGACGTGTTTTACTCTATGAGAATTCCATAACATAATGACTTGAGTATGATTTTTGACAGGTTTCTGTTGGGTACTTCCTTGCTGATCTTGCAATGATTTTGTGGATGTACCCTACTCTGGGTGGAATAGAGTATGTAAGTATATTGCCAACAATGGAAGAAAATCAAGTTTAGCATATTTCATTTCCTTCAACTAATGCTAGTTCAAATCCAGCGAGTTTAAATATTTCTATTATGAAATGTGATTTTTGAAACATGTATTCCATCTTTACTCTGGTTTCTGTTCACCTTGTCAAGATCTGTATAGTCACCCTTGTTCCAATTAGTGAAAATATGTTTCTGGAATCTGGTTAAACGAACATGGTGGAAGGTAGCTTTTGCCATTGAACTCTCGAGTAAAATCAAACAACTGATGCTGTTAAATCTCTCCAACTCAAAAGCATTGTTCATGAATCCCATGTTAACTCTGAGCATTGCGTTCAACTGATGCTGTTAAGGCCTAGTTTGGGAAGACTAAATAAGTGTACTTTTTGACTTTTTATGAAATATGGGTTGAGTTTGAGTTGGGTTTGGAGTGATATGTTAGAGAGGTGATGTGACTTAAATAGGATAGTGACTTTTTGACTTTTTGTCTTTTTTCAATCATGCCAAACTTGGCCTAAATCTCTCCAACTCAAAAGCATTGTTCATGAATCCCATGGTAACTCTGAGCATTGCGTTCAATTGGTTGGAGTGAGTTGAATCTGCATATTATCTAGATATAACAAAATCAAATACTGGAAGGGACATACAGAAAGCCTGTACAAAAAACATGTATAATAATCATTTCATTGTCTTTTCAATGTGGCTCATATTATTGTACCGTTGGATTTCAGATTGTCCATCACTCTCTTTCCGCAATTGCAGTGGCATATGCTATGTTTACTGGGGAAGGGCAGCTTTACACGTTCATGGTTCTGATATCCGAGATTACAACTCCAGAGATCAATATGAGATGGTATGTTTTAATAATGGAGGCTCTGATAAGGATACGAGTCTTGGAAGCATTTGACTTTGACATATCTTACTTGGTCTCATGCAGGTATCTTGATACTGCCGGTTTAAAGAGGTCAAGTGCATATCTCATAAATGGAGTGGTTATATTTTTTGCTTGGCTGGTGAGTTAAAATCCATTTATAATTTTGTTTCAGATGGACAACCTAATTTAGTAACTGGAAGTTCTCTTTCTTTTTTTTTTGGGTTTGAACTATAACTGGAAGTTCTCTGTCCAAGAAATATGAGCTATTTTAGATGATCAAATTCGTGGTCGTGCACTCAATGACATGCCCATGTAATAGAAGATAATCTTGCCATCCATGCTGGACACCAAACAGATTTAAGGGAAATAGGCCTATATATCCCAATCCCAAACATATCAGTTTTATTTTTTTATTTTTTTTATTTTTTTATTTTTATGATAAGTAGCATATCTATTTTGTTTTCTGCTTGATTTGTTTCCTTCGACATGTTTGCTATTATGGAATGCAGGTTGCAAGAATTTTGTTGTTCGCTTACATGTTTTGTCATGTGTACTTGCACTATGATCAGGTAATTCTACCTCCTGACTTACTGGTTTTTTAGGGCATGAATCATGTGAACTAACAATTTCTACTGTTGATTGCAATACTAGGATAATGTTACTCTTCCATAATATTAAATAAAATAAAAAATAAAAAGAAAGAAAGATAAGGGAAATGCGATGTAAAAAAAAAAGTCTGAAAAATGCATAGAAATGTGTAACAGTGTTTGGAAATATGTGAAATGTGCGTTGAGATTCTAACTATTTTGGCATTATTTGGATCTTAAGGACAGCCCCACAAGGCTGTGATTAGCAGGACCCATGTTGAAAAGCTTTCCAATCATTCAAAAGGATCCTATACATACAGCTATCTTTGAAGTTTGATTCTGTAATTAGCTACTAAGCAGTGGAACAGAAAAGAGAATATTAGAACCTGGATTAATGGGAATTTGGAGTCTTAGACAAACATTGTGTTTTCCCATTTCCTTGGTTTCGTTGGCATCTAAAAGAATGTGTGCTCTGCAGTTTTTTCATCAAGTGAAATTAGTGATAACTCTTTCTTCCATTATTATCATCATCTCCATTTGGTTATTGGAAGAACAAGGGAAAATGAACAAAAACTAAATATTTTATTTCCCTTTCCCTCGCTCATGCTGAGAAGCAGTGAAGCCATGATGGTTTATTCTAATATGTATTGCTTTTTCACCTTTTAACTCTCTCTCTCTCTCAGTGACACTCGCACACGTGCGAACATATGTAATTTACATTTCATATATAATTCTAACTTGTTTCATTCTAGAATGCATACAAACTTCCCTAAATAGATCATGAATGTGAACTCTCATCAAGTTCTACACTAATGGAATGAAATCTTTCAATGACTTGGCAGGTCATCAAGATGCACATTATCGGCTTTCTTTTGGTATTTGTGGTGCCATCTGCACTTGCTACCATGAACTTGATTTGGTTTGGGAAGATCATCAAGGGATTGAAGAAGACTTTTGCAAAGAGGCAGTGACGGGATTCTAGCCCTAGTTTCTTCCTCTTAATGTCGTTCTAATGTCCAGTTACAATCTTTTTTTCTTCCGTGTAATTTGGTAGAGTAAAAATAGAAAGAAAAAACTAGAGAGAAATGAAGGTAACTTGATTCGCAGACTTGAAGGAAATCAAGTGTTGTAAATTTTTCAGGATGGTTTATACTTGTGGTAATGCTTTACTCATCTTGCTATTTACAGGGATTACTTCTTGATTCGTCATGAACTCGTGTTCTCCAAGGTATCAGTATATCACCAAAAAGAAAATAGAATCACAGAGAGGAAGAAATGAGTAATGTTGGGAAGGCTGTCTTTTGAGTTGAAAATTGTTTCCTTCTAAATAACTTTGCACTTGAGGCAATTTTACTTTGCATCATTGTTGTGCGTCATATTTCTCGTTTCTTATTCCTTTCTGCGTCTCTCTATGGAGGATGGGAGGAGTTTCATGCTTCTCTCTAGGGAGGATGGGATGAGTTCCCTCCTCCCAATTACCATAACTTATTTAAGGACTAGTTTGGTTGTGTTATCATTCTTCATTTATGTTTTCATGTTTAAAAAATAACGAAAGATTTGAAAACACTATCGTTTTCATTTTTGTATGAAAACGATCTTTTGAATATTGACTAAAAAATGGGGTGTTTTAAAAAAAATAATAATAATATTGACGACAAGCAGAAAATGAAGGCAACCAAAAGAAAGGAAGTACAGAAATCACTGATCTTAAGTAACAAAAGTATACCGTAACTTGCCAGCAGCTAACCATGCCAAAATGTAACCCCCATCAAAAATGGCAATTTCCGAACATTGTCAGTCCTCTACATCATAACGTCCCGAACTAAAACCTGAGAACTGTATGATCCCAAATAAAGCTAATCACTTGGCTCAAAAGGCCCAAAACCTCAGAATTGTATGATCCCAAATAAAGGTCTCATCTCATTTGACTCAATGGGTCATCATTTGACTCAAACAGCCCGTGGTCTGGCCAGCCCAAGCCCATGATGAGCTGGCTCAGCCAGAATGAGGCATTAGTAGACATGGGCCTAGAGTTCGAAGCACATCCCGTTAGCCCGTAAGAGGTGGCCTCTAGGAAAATATGGGGAAAAAAAAAAAAATAGAGGAGAAATAAATTTATGTATAGGGCTAAATGTCAACCTAATGATTCATGAACAAGTGACCCATAAGCCAGGCCCGCAAACCTATCTAGCCCGTTCCATCAAAAAAAGACCAATGAGCTTAGCCCGCAGTCCAACTTTGGCACCAATTTTGCGACCCAACCGACCCAATGTTGATCCTTAGTCCCAAAAATCTCAGCAGGGAAAAATCTTAAGTTTCTATCACTTGACGAACCTACAACTTATATACTTATGAACCATGACACAATCAAAACTCAAAAACAAACTAAATCGGTCCTTCCATCAAGCAAAACACAATTATGTATATATTTTTACTTTTTGACCACTCTGCATGAATCAAAATTTTTAAAAAAACACTGTAGAATCTCACCTCAATATGTTTATTTATTGATTTTAAACGACACAAAGTATTTGAAAGCATAATTAAACAATACCAAAACATTTCATTACACGAGAAATGAATATTAACACCGTCTAATAAGTGGAAACGAAAACTTTAAACTGCATCACTGTACATTTTTAAACAAATGGTACACAAACCAGTGAAATTCAGAGTTATGAGAGCCGCCAACAAGCTTTAAGAGCAACAAGAACTCGCTGTTCTCTCTGCTGGCCTATTATCCATAAGAACCATTCCTGATGGATTTGGTGCAGGCTGCACTCGGGGTAGCCTCTTTGCTGTAAAAATATATATAGATAAACAAGAACATTTAAAATTCACAGAATAAATATCAAAAAATAGTTTATAATTATGGCAATTTCTCATTTGCAGAAGTTTATTAGTAAAGCTATGTTATTATGAGGAACCTGGAAAAACTCGAGAACCAAATTAGCCCAACCTCAATGGGTTGGGTTGGTTCGGTTTTTGTGAATACATTGGTTCGGTTATGGGTATAAAAATAACGAACCCGATCAAATCAGTTTGATAGCTCAAGAAACCTATATATGTCATTTACGTAAAATTTATTTTGCTACAAACATTGTGCTTGTAAGGTAAGAAAACTCAATTGCACAGCATGACATATCATGCAACCAAGGGACCAGCAGATCACCCACCTCATACCACATATCCAAAGTTGTTTACCACATGTTAATAACTTTCGGCTGATCAAAACATACCTATTTCACAGAAAATTTCATTGACATTGGTTGCGGTTTTTGCAGAGGTTTCCATGAAGAAAAGGCCATTTTCCTGTGCATATATTTGTGCTTCCTGCAATAAATAAATAAATAAAAGAAAACCCTTATAAGCAACAGTGGTGGTACACTCAAATGAAATCAAATTTCCTTTCCAAAATCGGGTATGAACAATTGAAATTTTAACGAGGTCCATGGCTGAACCATCTTTTATGGCATATCATGTTTCAACACAGTAGGCTGCGAAAATATGAGATAGAGACACATGCTGAGCTTAATCACAAATGTTCATCTGCTATTACATAATCAAATAGTGTGCCCTTGACAAAAATGAATGGACTTAAATCATAGGGACCCATATGCTTTCTTCCTGCGGTTTTGGAATCTCTTGATATTCAAAAGGAAGCAAATTTTTTTAATAACAGTTACCCTACATAAAAGTAAATTAACTATTATTCATGACGAGTTTCTAGTCCTCCTTTTGGATATCAAACCTTACATGCATAACTCTTAAAAAATGCATGATATGCATCCATGATAAATTTGTGCATGCGCACCTTGTACATGATCCAAACCTTTAAACATCTTCCGTGACAAAAATTTCCCCCATCCCCTGCCCCACAACCTATTCCCACCCATTTGGTATACAAAAGTGTGCAAGAGATTAACAAGGTCCCTAGAGTGAAGACTGTGGAACAAAACAAAAGCGATTATGTCGACAAACACCATTTCTGTTCACTTCAAAATTTACTCTTCACTCTCGGAACTTCTAGAGAAAAAGATTTTCTAACTTGCATAATTTTCAAGGACTAGCTCGCTAAGAAAGCATGTCAACCACCACAGTTGTTTGTATATGACTGATTAAGCTGCTGTCACCTCATATAGCCAAGAAATAAAACAAATCCGGCAATTATTTCGCCAATAGACAACAGAACTTCCTCTGAATTTCAAGACCATCCTATTCGTACCATCATACATTTCATCCAAACAGTAGAACTTCTGTTAAAATTGATGTATTATTGATTGTTGTATTGATATATATTACAATGATTCATGATTCCTATATATAGAAGAGGGTGAGTGTGTAGTAGGTGAGGAGTAGGTGGAGAGTAAGTGAAGTAGGTGAGTGTGTAGTAGGTGGTAGTGGTAGGTGTGTAGTAGGTGAATTTTAACAGCCCCCGCAAACTCAAGGGGGATAGGAACTAACCAACTTGAGTTTGGAGAGAGTAACAAAACAAGAAAATACATAAAAATAAAAGAGGATAGGAGACACTGTATGGTCGTGTCAGACCATTGGTGAAGACACTGGATGGTGGTGTCATAACGTTGTAGAGGACACTGTATGGCGGTGTCAGACCGATGTAGAAGACAGTTTATGGGGTCATGTCATAAAGAGATTAGAAACACACTAACACTGTATGGTGGTGTCATAACGTTGTAGAGGACACTGTATGGGGGTGTCATAACGTTGTAGAGGACACTGTATGGGGGTGTCATAACGGTATAGAGGACAGTTTATGGGGTCATGTCGGACCGTTGTAGCAGACAATGTTGTGACAGTTTACAGAGTCTTGCTGGACTCTTGTAGAAACTAACCGGAATCAATGTCGACAGTTTACAGAGTCTTGTCGGACCCATGAAGGAGCTAACCGGAATCAATGTCGGGACAGTTTACAGAGTCTTGTCGGACCCATGAAAGAGCTAACCGGAATCAATGTCGGGACAGTTTACAGAGTCTTGTCGGACCCCTGAAAGAGCTAACTGGAATCAATGTCGGGACAGTTTACAGAGTCTTGTCGGACCCCTAAAAAGTCGCACCCTCAAAAGGTGTGCCCAATCTGTCAAAAAAGGCGTGCCATCAAAAGGCGTGCCCAATCCATAAAAAGACGTGCCATCAAAAGTTGAGCCCTCAAAAGGCGCGCCCACTTCATCAAAAGTCGTGCCCGACAGAAAGCGTCGAGCCATCAAAAGTGCCTCTTCGTCAGGGTCTTTATAAACTGAGGCGGAGGCTGTGCTTGAGGCAGAAGCGAAGACAAAAAAACCTGGGAAAAAACTTCTGAAAAACTCTTCATTTTCTGAGAGAGATATTCGTTTTCTGAGAGATTGTCTCTAAGAGCTGCAAATCTTGAAACACTCTGTAACCAACCCTTCCGAACATTATCAGTTTGAAATTGCTATTTCGCTGAAACACTCAGGCCTCGTTTGGCAAGAGGCTATTTTAGCCAATTAGCCAAAAAGTTACTAAATTAGCCAAAAAGCCAATAACCCATACCAAAAAGTCAACGATTCTCTTTTCTCTCTACTTTTTGCACATCTTTTCGTAATTAGCCAAAAAGTCATCCCAAACATACAAGTTTTTTTTACCAACCTTTTTCTAATTAATATATCAATAATTGTTCTTTAATCTTTTGCTTACCATACTCTTATTATTGTTATTATTAACAACTAAATTGAAGTCGGACTCCGATCCGACTGAGTTCAATAGGGTTTCGTCCCAAACCCTAACTCTTCCTGCGAACGACGACAGCTTCTGAGCCTTCATCAGTCCAACAAAAACCCTCTGGTATGCCCCCAAATCTTCTCATTTCTTTTCTTTTCTGTTTTGGGTCTTATTTTTTTGCCTGGGAATCTGTTTGGTCTGCGAGAAAACTGAAAGAAAATAAATAGATTTTCTAAATCTCATAAATTTCGTTGTTTATTTTCAAAAAATGGAAAGCATCAGCTCAAACGATCCTAATAACACTGTGAACAATCATTTGCTGGTACGAATAAATCGTTTATTTATTTTTTGGCACCAAATGTTGAAGTTTTGCAATTACAAAAATGTCAGGATTTGTGGTTGTTCAGATTAGTCATAGTTTATTAGTTTGTGCTCTGTGTGGAAGGAAGGGTTTAATTGGGATGAAAACTGATTGTGGGTGTTTATCAATTTTGCATACTAAAATAGGCTTTGTAATTGGACTGTTTTCTCTGATCTAGAGGAGAAAGAATACGTTGTAATTGATATCAGCATAATTAATAGGGCTACAAACGAGCCCAGTCAAGTAATAAGTTGTTTAAGCTTGGTTTGAAAACTTAACGAGCTTCAATTTGTGATCAAGCTTGCTTGTTTATATAACGAGCCAATCTGCTATGAGCTTTTAATAAAACCGAACACAATTCAAGCTTGAGTAACTTGTTTTTTTATAGTGCATATATGCCTATGGAGCCTATTATGTTGTTGAAGCTTGGTTTAAAAACTTAACGAATTTTAAAATGTGTTTAAGCTTGACTTGCTTATATAATGTGTCGATCTCAAACAAACTTTTAACGGGCTGAACACAAGTTGAGTTTTAGTGGCTTGGTTCATTTTGCAGCCCTATTAACTAAACAGTAGTTATTGGTCTAAGAGAATGAACGGAAGGAAAGGAAAATGCATACTTTGGAAAGCATCTTCAAATTTTTGCCTTTTGTACCTTGCTTCTGAGAAACCGAATGGATCAAAAATAGTTTTGCATTTTGTGTTAGTGCACAAAAGAAATGAATCTTTCCACCCATGATCCATCTCGTACCATTTTATTGCTGCTGTATATGTTGTGCTCCTTTTCCCCTTTAATACCAATTGGCAATGTTATTAAAAGCACGTCTAGGCCAAATTCCCATCCAGACGCAAGCATTGCACCTGGGGCTTCAAGCATCCTGGTAGTGTTATCTCTAGATCTAGAACTGGAGTTTAAGTAAAACACCTAATCCTTTCCTCCTTTGTCGAGTGATATTCATTGACATTACTTTGGCAACCAGTGGGTTTCTTCGAATTATTTGTGTTGCATTTCATTAGCTTAACACTCTTAAGTTTATTCTCTTCCTTGCCTGGTGGTAATCTCATTAGTCATTACAGCAAACTCAACCCTTTTCCTCTCTTAAATTTCCTCTCCTTTCACAAAAAAGAATATTTAGATGAAAATATATTGAAGGCCATTATGCTCTGCACATTGTGGCTACACCTATGGTTGGAAGACCACTCCTACACACCACATATAAATTCCAAACTGATTACCTCCCAACTGTGTCCTTCCTCCTAGCATATTGTTGCCCTTCCTCGAAGAGTTAAAACACCTATAATCGTGAAAACAACTTAACTATTTTTTGCTTTTTTATTTTTTCCTATTTAATTTGAATTCACTTCTGCTTGCTCGTTCTCGCTTCATTTCAGGTGATTGCTATACCTATCATTATGGAAGCTAAGTTCTTCCGCTTTCTTAAGATTGTGGGTGTTGGTTTCAAGGCTAGAGCTGAATCAGAAGGTCGTCTCTTGTACCTCAAATTGGGATACAGCCATGAAGTTGAACTGACTGTGCCTCCAGCTGTCCGTGTGTTTTGCTTCAAACCTAATATAGTTTGCTGCACCGGGATTGACAAGCAAAGGGTGCATCAGTTCGCTGCTGCTGTTCGTAGTTGTAAGCCTCCTGAAGTTTACAAAGGGAAGGGTATAATGTACATTGATGAAGTTATCAAAAAGAAGCAGGGAAAAAAGAGGATTGAGTAGAGACGGATAGTCAGAGAAAGAGAGTAGAATTCAGTAGAGGTCCGGCGGGCGACCAAGGCGAGGCTGCCGCCCGCCGGTGAAGCGGAATTACTAGGTTCTCAACCTTGCTCTGATACCATGTTAAAATTGATGTATTATTGATTGTTGTATTGATATATATTACAATGATTCATGATTCCTATATATAGAAGAGGGTGAGTGTGTAGTAGGTGAGGAGTAGGTGGAGAGTAAGTGAAGTAGGTGAGTGTGTAGTAGGTGGTAGTGGTAGGTGTGTAGTAGGTGAATTTTAACAACTTCATCATAAACAAGTCCTCTTCTTCAATCTCTTGAAATATAAGGCATGCCTGATTTTAAAATATTCAATATGATTTTACACCATGACATATCAATGGCTAGTATTTAGGAGTTCAACCAATAAGAAGTAATTTTTAAAATATATTTAGAAACCAACAAACAGTATCAAAAGGAAAAAGGAAAAAAAAAAAATTATATATACTTGCCTCAGCTGGCACCTTTCTCGCATCTAGCAAATCAGCTTTATTCCCAGCAAGAGCCATGACCATGTTTGAATTACCTTATTCCAAAAAAATAAAACAAATTAAAATTTTGGAAGGGTAATGGCCACTTTGCCCCTGAATCAAGTAGAGTCCATGAATGAAATAAATGCAATTCGATTCACAGTTGTCAAAGAGAAACATAGATGATCACACCAAAAGTTCTCTAGGTGTATTCAAAATTTTCCGATGTGAGTACTAAACTATCACTATGACGATTTGATATGCAACTAAAATAGAGTATATGCAACTGTCAACATGAGATGATTAGATTGCAGAAAGGGAAGACTACCACCCTAAGGTCAAGTATAATTACAGAAACTTCCACAGTGATTTAAGATATTGCACTATCCTCTCCTCTACTATATCAATAACACATTATACCCTTTCACCGTAGCAGTGATCTTTGACAAACCCTAATAAAATGTCAATCAAGCAATTCATGTGAGCCAGGAAAGCCCTTTTCACAAAGTAAATAAATGACTATAGATGCTCATAAACATTGTTTCTTTTACAACAAGGGTTGAGCTCTCACGGATAACTTGACAGTATTGTTTACAGGAGGGCCTGAGACGATGAGGTATTTCAGTGGTGATAAGCAATAAGGTGTGAGGAAGCCAATTTTGGAGGCAGTGGTGGTGGTGGTTTGCCAAGAGAGGTGGAGAAGATGCATTGATAATGGTGGTTGTGGTTTTAGGTCTTTATTGATGGCTACTCATGCAATAGTGGTGATTGCTGATGGCTACAACAAGGGTGGCAATGACTGGTAACCAAAACACCATCTTTCCTTCTTCCCTTCTACTTTAGTAAGGAGACATCAATGTAATATTGCCAACTAACAAATCTTCAACTTCGTCCTGAAATGTTAAATATGACTTCAAGCATAAAAAAGGAATCAAAACTTGATTCAAATCATCTATCCATAGATCTGCCTAATTTCAGAAATTACTAAGAAGGTCCCCCTAATTAGGCATAAACCCAATGAAGGTTGATGTAATTGACCCAAAAAGAAATATGAGATATACAACCAATGTGAAAAAACTACCTTGTGCTTGAAGCTCTTGGACCCATTTCTTTGCTCTCTCAAATGAGGCCTACAGAAGAAAGATTTAAACATTAACAACTCCGAAAGTCGGACAACTTTCAATAACCACACAAGTAAGTCATAAACTAAAGGGTTGATATCTAATCCAACTTAAATATAGAGTAGAAAGCAAAGAACCAACCAACAATATCAAAAAGACATGGCAATAGAAAATGGAGATATTTATGAATAAATGAATAGAACATATACCAGAAATGCAGAAATCTCACACAATCCATATTGTTCCACAAAGCACAAACACGACAAAGTGGAGATTTAAATTGAAACCATCAATGAACAGTTTTGATTTTGTTTTATTACTTCCAAAAAGGCTATAATGGTATCTCCTCCTTGTTTAACTTAAGAGTTGCAACCGACCTGTCTGGGAATTCAAACCCCATTAGAGCATGCTTGGATTTCAAAAGGGAAGGGGGCCAAGGGATTATACCATTGGGCCTACAGATATTCATAGTTACAGTAGTACCATTAATCCTTAGAATTGAGACATCATGGCTGTCTTGTGTGTAGATTACTATACTTTAGCAATACAATGTGTTTATGTCTAATGGTGCAACATTTGTAAAAGCACACATGTATAATACTTCTTCCATTTTCTCAAAGTTTAAAAAATGGAAAAGCACAAGGTTTGCGGCTCGGTAATTAAAGTTTACACGTCATACTTCAAAAGGTTCTAATGCGTTGTTTACCACACCAAAGTTTAAGAGATAGCACCTACCTGATTTGTTATATCATATACAATAATTGCAGCTGCAGCTCCTCTATAGTACATTGGAGCTAAGCTATGGTATCTCTCTTGACCAGCCGTATCCCATATTTCAAATTTTACAGTCGCATCATTTACAGCCAATGTTTGTGATAAAAAGGCAGCACCAATGGTTGATTCCTGCAAGACCACACAACAAGAGCAAGGATCCAGAGTCCAAAAGGTTAATCCAATGTGAATATTGGATTGCCAAAATCAATAAAAGCAATAGGACCCACCTGAAATTCAACAAATTGGCCTTTAACAAAACGCAATACCAAACTAGATTTTCCAGCTCCAACATCTCCAAGAAGAACCTAAAAAATAAACCAAATTAGCAAGGAAACGAATCTAGTTGAGAGAAACTAGAGCTGGTGCTAAAGACAAATTTAAGAAAAATTGGAAGAGGTGTGGAAGAATAAAATAGAATTATCTCCCTCTAAGAATCCAATTGCACTAGTATCGTAGTTGGGCTTATATATCCCCTAACTAACATATTCTTCACATTTATATTTAACTCAAGAGTATTATCTTGGTAAGAGCAAATAATACAAGACTTGTGTTCGAATTAACAGAGTTCAAATAATGAATTTGGATTTGATTTTTCACGGATTACAGCTTAATGAAGATCTACACAACATCTACAGATGCTTTCAAGAGCCTCATATCAGCGAATTTGAAAGGCATACACGGTTGTTCAAAATATGTCCCTCTCTAAATCAATATGCCTCCAACCTCAATTCTTCCAAAACAACTAAAAAGCAATCCAACACATTGTAATTTGGAACCCTTTATTCCCATATTGCAATTCCATTTAAACAAAAGTCAGTATAATCTATGAACATTAAACATGATTAGTGAAACTGATCATCCATAAAAATGCAAAACACTTAATTTGATCCTGTGGATCAAATTACTTAATTTTAAGCGAAAAATCAAAGAATAATAAAGAAAGTTTTAGAACAGCATGGGAGAAACCAGATAAAGCGAAACCCACATCTAAATTAGTGATTGAGTGGGAGGGAGGACCAAAAAAATAGATAAAAGGTAAACCAAACAGATTATCTAAAACAACACACCAACTACTAGTATATAAATACATTAAAAAGAAGGAAATACACAAGTTTCCTCACAGTCAATATCATAACATTACAGAAGAAAAATTAACCTAAATCCAATACCAAAGCATAAAAGTTCTACAATTTAGCATGTAATTGAACAGAAAAAGAATCAAATCCTGGGATTTTTTAATTTTTTGCGAAATATCACAAACCCACATCAGAATTTGCATTTGTAAATTACAAAACCAATCAAAACGGTGAATTTATACAAATTTGGACATAAAACAAGCTGGAGATGGTAAATAGAGAGACCAAAAAAAAAAAAAATTAAAACAAAAAGTACACACCAATTTGGCGTTGAAACTATAGTATAGAAGAAGGGAATAATTAAAGACTCATGACAGTCAATATCAGATCATTAATGAAGAAAAAAGTTAACCGCAAACCAATATACCAAACCAATAAAGTTTCATAATTTAGCACATAATTGAACAGGAAAAGAAAATTTTTTGCGAAATATAACAAACCCACATCAGAATTTGCATTTATAAATTACAAAACTAATCAAAACGATGAATTGATACAAAAAGTATCATAATTTAGCACATAATTGAACAGGAAAAGAAAAATTCTTGCGAAATATTACAAACCCACATCAAAATTTGCATTTATAAATTCCAAAACCAATCAAGACGGTGAATTGATACAAAATTGGACATGAAACAAGCTGGAAAAAAAAAACGTACGCACCAATTTGGCGTTGATGTTTTTGTTTCCAGTGGTGGCCATGGATGTAAATCTAAGACTGGTTCAGATGATATATAGAAAGATTAATTATCGGAAGATAGAGAAAAAGATATATATGTGTATTGGGAAAATCAGAGAAGAGGGTTTTATTAAGGTTTTCGTTGACGAAAAAAAAGAGGTGTCGACTTGAAGCGAAAGGCAAATTGGGCAAAACTTGGCTACTCTATTCTATTCAACAACCAACCCCTCTCTCTCTCTCTCTCTCTCTCTCTGTAGGAAAGATCGCTCAGGAACACCTCATGGATTCTCACGCCGTTTTCCGCGGAGCAATGACGCCGTCAATTCCATTTTGTCCATTTTTATGTTCAAAGAGTTCATCAAATTGGTGCGATTCTATTACAAAATTTCGTAATATTAACTTAAAAAATGTAATTTTATCATAAATTAATATAATAAAATGTCATAAAATTTTAAAGGACTTTCGTATAGATCATAATAGATGGACTATTATCTAATAAATCATGTTAGAATTAATAATATTTTTCATCGAATACTATTAAAAAAATTATTAATTTTTAGCAACAATTTACAAATTTTGTCATAAAAATATAACCAATTATAAGTTTTAACAACAATTTAACAAAATCGTCACAAAAAAACGTAGCTAATTTTCAAACGATAATTTAAAAAATTCGTCACAGAAAAACGTTATTAAGTGGTGCAAACAGTATTATTCAATTGTAGTGACAATTTATCAAAATCGTGACAAAAACAGTCACTAATTGTTAGTTTTTAGTGATATATAAAAAATCATTACCAATAATTAATTTTAGTGATAATTTTATTATGACTTATTTTCAATAAGATTTTTTGAGAATTAAGTCTAATTATTATGACATATTAGTAGTTCACTCTAAAGTTTTATAATTGATGTTATAAAAATTTATAATTTGATTATGATATTTTTTATTATATCAATTTGTGACGAGATTACGTATTTTATAATTGATATTATAATTTTATTTATTTATTTATTTTTGATTGGTAATGTTCGAATCATAGTTTGACTAATCTTCAAGAGTGCATTGGTCCTCAACAATAAATTTCTTACAAATACACCATAATTAATTCAAAAATTTTCCCCATTAATATTACTAAATTTAATAATAAAATTATATCAATTTAAGATCGAATACATATGATACGCATCCTAAAGATGCAACTATGAGCTTTACAGCTCATGAAGATTTTAGGTTTAAAACAAAATAACAATAATTTAATATAAAAAATTAATCAATTCTTCCTATTTTAGAGCTTTCCATAGTGATCTCATTAGAGAAGTGTACTGAGCTTAGTGGGCTAATTTTAAGGCCCACCTTGAACCGTTCATTTTTGGAGAAATAACTTATTGAAATATGTTTACACTATTTAACCTAACAATTTTTTGAGTGGACTTAAAAGTTTTATATGTTTTTTTTTCTCTCTCTCTTTGTCTCTCTGTGTGTTTTTTTTCTTATTCTTTACATTTTCCTCTCCCTCTCTTTTTTCTACGTTTTGCTCTCATTCTCTTTGTCATTTCTGACGGCCGATGATCACACTTTTTTTATTCTCTTTCTCTTTCTAATATATAAGCACTGATGACCGACGACCACCATTGATTAGGGTTCATCGACAACTATCAACCACCGACATCAACTCGTGACTTCATCATCACCGACGGCAAAGAAGATGAGTAGATCTACTCAGATTTGAGTAGATCTAAATAAAAAATAGTTGCCGGAGTATAATATTCTTTCTATATCTATTATCTTCTTCGATTTCTCAATTTTTTTTTTTTTTGTTACACACGTCTATTTTTTTGTTTTAATAGAGAAAATTTTCAAGTTCTGAATAAGTTGTTTATAAGTTTTAGTTACAAGCGATGAAAACTGTAAAATTTTACAGTTTAAGCTTTTTGGGTGCTGAAATGAATCATGCTTTAAAACTACAAAATTTTGCAATTTCATAACATTCTTTAGAACTGTAAAATTTTACAGTTTTATAACATGTTTTTTCCCAGCTTAATAGAATAATGCTTTGAAACTGTAACATTTTACAGTTTCAAGGCTTACTTTTCAGTTTGATCAATATTACAGATTATTTTCTTAAACCCTACAAAAATTGAAAAATAATATCTTTTTCCCATGGTTGTTTGTTGTCGTTATGTTTTTTAACTATAATTTCTCTTTTTTTTTCCTTTTTTTTTAGGCAACATTCTAAATATTCCGATGAGTCTCCAATGATTTTTTGACATTTTCCAGTGACGTTCAGAATACTTCGACGAACTTTTGGCGATACTTAGAACACTCTGACGAACTTACTACCGGTGATGCTCAAAACACTCCGTCGAACTTCCGGTGATGCTCCGGCGATTTCCCGATGATGTTGAATATTCCGGGGAGTTTTCGGTGAGTCTGACAGAAGTCGTTGGATGTAGCAGTATTTTTAAAGTTATTAAAATAAAATAAAAAAGAGTTATCGGTAACAGTTAAAAATATGTAAAACTAATTGGTACAAGTATTTTATTTTAGGATTAGATGGATTTTGAATTTTGTATATGAAACTTATTGGTAAGTGCCCCTTCATTTTTTTAATATCTATTTAAAAAGTACTTGTGTAAAATATTAAATTGATAGGTTATTAATAGTTAAATGATTGAATTACATTTATATTAAAAAATATGTAGTTATGGATATATGATTAACTTAGAATTTTATATTGTTTATCATCTCGATAAATCTTACAAAATAAACAACTTAGATCACCAAGGTAAATTGGATTAGCATCTCCAACCCCTCTCAGAATGTTAATTCCACTTGGGATTGATGATATCATAACAGTCTGTTTGATTGAGTGGATTATAGCTTAGAATTGAGATTATTAATCCATAGGACTCACATTCAATTGTTTGGTTGCAATTTTTGTTATTCAACTTAGATTTTGATGGACATTCTATCTAACAAAATTAGTAAATTTTTGGATAAATTACAAGGACACCCCTTGAGATTTACTTAAATTACAAATTACCTCATGTGGTTCTAGAAAATTATAATATGCCCCATAACGTTTCTAATTTCATAACAAATAGATATTTTTATTAATAAATCATCAAGTTAATTAACAGTTTTTAATAATGTTAAAATTTTACTTAAATTAATAATTCAAATAATTTTATTATTATATAGGTGAACAGTTAGAAATTTCATTTTTTCAATTAATTCTGTTAAATAAAAAATTCTGACGGGGAGGTATTTAGAATTTTCCAAATCATAGGGGGTAATTCATATTTTAAGCAAATCTCAGGAGGTGTATTTGTAATTTATCCTAAAAATTTTAATCTTACAATTAATAATGCAGAACAAATATATAATTCAAAGTAATATATTTTTGTATCCATTGCAAAATTAACGTGAACAAGATTAAATTATTTATCTCATTCATCCAATGAAAAAACCAATCATAAACAAATCTCATAAATTATTAATTTTCTCATTATTAATTCAGTTAGCCAAACAAGACCTAAGATTATTAGTTTGATACCATTTTGTCATAATTAAACATGATGTTACAATGCCTACAAATTATTAATTCAATTCCACCATTAAAAGACTAAACAAACAAGACCAACAAAATAATATACTTCAAGCAGAGCATTTTTTTTTTAATAAAATTATTATCTCACTAATCGAGCTAAAAAAATCAATCATACAGTAATCTCATAAATTATTGATTTTCTCATTATTAATCCTATTATTCAAACAAAATATAAGATTATTAGATTGATACAATTTTATCTTAATTAAACATGATTTTAGAATGTCTACAAATTATTAATCTAATTCCACCATTTAAAACACTAAACAATCAAGACCAATAATATATAACGGGGAATTTAAAATGAACGTACTTTTTATTCCTCCCAGACTATTTCTACATTTGCAACCCAACCCGGCCCACCCCTTGAAATAAATAGCAAATCTACCCTTCTCCCTCAAAAAGGGGCCCAAAAAATAAATAGAAAAAAGATAGGGAGGAAGGGTGTAACATAGGCAGCCCAAATTAAATAATTTAAAAATTTTAAGAATCTGGACAATATATTTTTTAATTTATGCACGATATGGGCTAAAAGTTGTTGGCTTAAATTAAATTGAGATAATTGTAGAAAAAAAAAAATAGTATCAATGCAAAATAATTGTGAAAACAAACAGGTTATGCATTAGATTGTACAAAAATGTCTTGTACTTCAATCACTGTATAATTATTTTGTATTGTTATCATTTTTGCAATTTTTTCAATTAAATTTACCTAGGGTCCAAGAGAGATTCTCACAATTTGAAAATTTTACTAAATTCACTAAATTATTGTAACAATAAAAAGTTAGTTTAACTTTCTTTCTTTTTTTTGACAATCCAACATTTGGGTAAATCATGATTAATTTCGAAAAAAAAACAAATGCGAAAGCATTTCCTCCACACGAATCAAACAAATCTCAAGTTATACTGACAAACATGACTCCAAAATGATTAGGAGTAAAATCTTAAACTTGATACGACGTATCAAAAGCCAAGTGACTTGTTTAGAAGATAAGTTTACATTTATTCCTCTTTCTCCCACAATCTTTGGCCACCCCACCATTCATTGACTCTGCCAACTACCCTTACCTTCGCCTACCATTGCCAATGAGCTCATCTAACAATCACCTATGACTATCATTTTCAACCATCAACAACTGCTTCCATTCATAGTTCTCAACTTTCAGCTTCCATCTTCAAGCCACCAATCCCTTCTCACCGCGTCAACAACTTTAAGTCACCACCTTCGACAACAAAAACTACCGTCAGTCACCATACCAACAACCACATTCGACTACTACTCTCATTTATTTTCAAAATAAATTTCTAAAAGGCATGTGTATACTAAATAAAAAAATTTATACTTTCATTGTTTAATATTTTTTACAAAAAAAATAATAATAAACTTGGATGAAACCACAATATATCAATGAAGATACTCCTATTAAAAAGGCAAAGTTGGGGTACAACCCATTATGTCAGAAAAAGTTGAAAGAAGAGGCCAACCCAACCCCAACTCCAACCCAAACCCAGTTTGCAAATTATAACTTCTGATGACTTTCACAGTTTCTGAATCTGTGTATCGCTGTATTTGTATGTGTGGGGATTACTAAACCACCTTTTTCGTCATAAGAAATAAAACTTCCAGCAAATAGCAATGGGGAAATTGTAAATTAAAAAATATTTATATTTTTATATTGGCATAAATTTTTTAGGATAAATTACACTGACCTCCTGA